ATCTGATCCTGTCACTTCCTGTGCACAGAACTGCCCACAGGTTCCCACAGCTTGGAGAATAAAGTCTCTGTCACGAGCACACCGTTGAGGCTTTATCAGGCTCGTTTCTCTCCTGGTCTCATTTCCTATTATTTCACCCCAATTCTGTCACCAGTACCCCAGCCGTCGGCACTCACCCCTCTGGTTGGAAGATCGTGAGGCCTTTAACAGAGGCACCAGCACTGAGGCTGCGCCTGACGCAGGCACTTGAATAAAATGGACTTTAGTTAATAATCATGTATCAATATTTGTTTATTAATTGTAACTATTCTGTAAAAAAAATAGAGAGAGGAGAAATTAAAATAAGAGAAACCTATGTATTAAAATGTAAACCTAGAAGAAACAGGTGACTTCCTAGCAAAATTACACATTAATAAAATGGGCGCTAAAGAAAATACAAACAGATCAATTACCCGTCCAGGGACCTCTCCAGCTGCTGGCTCTCCTCTGTGGTTCTGGGGATTCCCCGTCCGGGCACAGGGAAGGGGGACAGGGGCAGGGCGGTCAGCAGCTCCACTGAGATCTGCCTAGTGTCCTCCTCCCCAGCTGGGGGCGCCCAGTGAGGGAGATTCAGGGGTCACTGGTTCTGCCGGAACTTTTTTGACTTCAAGAAACTGGACACACTTGCTCAAGTAAAATTAATTTTCAAATGGCAGAAATAAATTAATACTTGCAAGAGACAAGTTTAAGAGAGGGGTTGAGCCTGGCAGGTCTGGGCTCTCGCACTGTCCGCTTGGGACCTGATCCCTCTTCAGCCCTCCCCCCTGCTAAGTGCCTGCGGTGGCGCCCTCACAGGTATGTCTCCCTGGCTATATGGGGCCCCCCGGCCACTCCAGGTGAACGCCCCCTCCCCCCCCACCACCACCCTGGGTTCCGTGAAAAGCCACAGCTTCAAACGCCTTCGGCCTGGCTGGGCTCACACCCCATGCTGGGCGCATCAGAGCACCCGGAGCTGTCCCGTGGGGGTGGCCGGACGTGGGGCTATCTGGGTGGAACCGCGGGGTGGGGGGCGGCGGGGGGGCGGATGCATCCCCGGAGGGGACTGGGGCCCTGGCCTGGGGCGTGAGAACAGACGCTGGGTCGTGGGAGCAGCAGACGGCACGTCACTGACACCGCCTGCACAGCTGCGGGGTCCGTGCCCGAGGAGGGACCGGGCCCCGGGGTCAGGGGTCAGGGCTGTGGCCGGTCCGGTGCTCGCTGTCCTCCCGCGGGCGGAGAAGCCACGTCCCCACTGCTGGGGATCTCAGGGTCCTGTCCTGGGCTCCGGGTCCTCACAGCCCAGGAGCCCAAGCGCCCTCGGGAGACACAGCGGCCTCACCTGTGTCCCTGGGAGGGTCAACCTGGGGGTCAGGCCTGCCCCGTCCCCGGGAACAAAGGGGCTCACGGGCTCCTGTCCCGTCTCTTCTCCACCGCAGTGAGCGGAGCAGCGGGAGCCCGTGGACCGGTCCGCGCATGGGGTCCACAGGCCAGGGCTGGACCATGGACGCATATGGCTGTCCGGGTCCGTGCGGCCTCCGTGTGAACCCCCCGTGGGGAGAGCCCGTCGCCCTGTCATTCTCTGAGGTTTGTCGCAGCCGACGGCCCGGGGCTGCGGGGCCACGACACTCCGCGTCCCCCAGGTCCTCTCCCTGCTGGCGGCTGAGGCTGTGATGGGGGTGGCGCTCGTCTCACCCACGTGAATGTCGGCGACTGAAACACGCCAAGGGGCTGTCTGGGCGGCCTAGTGGCTGCTCAAACGCCCGGCAGCGCCGACAGCTCGGTAACTGGCCAGGGCGGCTTCGCAGGGCCCAGGCTGGACCCTGGACATCTGCCTGCACGGTCAGAGGCCTGGGGCTGCCCACAGCTGCCCACTAGGATGGGAGGGAGGACACAGCCAGCCCCAGGAGGGCCTCACCAGCCCCACCAGGCTGCTCCTGGGAGCTGGCCGGCCATTGCACCCAGTCCCGTACAAACCTACAGTCCACTGAGTGCCCTCGAGTGTCAGGGCTGCTGGGGCACAGCGGGAGGAAACTCCATGTGACCCCACAACCCTAGGCTGAGGACGAACTGGATTTGAAACGGTGACCAGAGTCCAGGACTGGGGGACAGACTAGCAATGGCCCAGCTCAATCTCTGAGTCATGCGTGACCCTGGCCAGGTCCTGTCCATCCTGGAAGCCTCAGAGAGATAAAGAAGGGAGAGGAGGAACTGGGCCGGTGAGGCTTAACCTTAACCCTCCAACCCTAACCCCCTGACCATTATCCTAAGCCCCAACCTCTAACCTCAAACCCTAAACCCTGACAATCCTACCCCAGGACCCCAGGACCCTGAACCTGACCCTCTGACCCTGACACTAGTCTTCTAACCTTGACCCTGACTTATTCTAACCCTGTCATTGACCTTGACCCTAACCCTAAGAACAACCTTTTATAAACAAAACTCTCGATGAATGAAGCATAGATGGAACATACCTCAACAGAATGCCCCAGGGAGAGGCCGAGTCCAGACCCCCACAGCGGTGTGCTGGGCAGCTGCGCTCCCGCGGGGCCTGAGCAGGCGTCATACAGACCACGCTCATGCTCCCAGAGGCGGGCCGTGAGCTCAGCTCCCGGAGTGCTGAGCTCACGATGAGCTCTCCGTCCCCAAGCCTCCACCCTGGTCCCCCTGCCACCTGGCCCCTGCCACCATGTGGGGGCAGCAGGAGCCCAAAACAGCACCACAGCTCCAGGCTCTGGACTTCACAGGTCAACACCAGCCATGGTCCTCACAGGTTAGACATCCCCGAGGAACGTGGAAATGAGAAAGATCATCCCAGGGTCTCCTTACTCTGGTCTGGGGCGGACATCAGGACTGTGCATTTTTTAGTGCACGAGGGATAACAGTGAAAAGTAAAGCTTGTAAAAGCGTAGCCGACAAGATGAAGACGGATCCTTAATATGGGTTCAGGGAGCCCTTGGGTCATTCACTCGTATCCCCCATGAACAGAAGCACGGGCGGCTCCTACGTCCCATTTATGGGCCACATGCTGACCTGCGTCTCATCCATGCACGCCCCTCTGACGGAGCCTCGCCTTCAGGCCCAACTTTGTCTTTCTGGACTTTCCCTCATCCTTCAGGAATCTGCTTGCATACCGTGTCACCTTGGGAGCTTTTCTGGAATGTTCCACACAGCATTGGTACCTGTGCTGTGCTCCCACAAATCTCCATGGCTCCCCAGCAGGCCATGTGCCACACGTCACAGTGGTCCCTAGCTGGGCTGTCTCCTACCCTGGCCTGGGCGGGCTCAGAGCAGAGACACCACATTCTATCTCACTCGGTGGGCACTAGAGTCCCCATGGTGTCTGGTGTGTGAAGGCACTTTGATGAGTGTGGTAAATGTAGAAGCTAAGGAACAGATGATTTATGACATGCAAAGTGCTGCTCTGTTTGAGGTGTATCAAAGCTGGCTATGACCGGGCCCTTCGGAGCCCTTTATTACACACTGAATTGTACCCTCCTCAAAGTTCATATACTGAAGCCCCAACCCCAACGTGTCTGTGGTTGGAAATAGGGCCATGAAAGATGTAATTCAGGTCAAATGAGGTCATAAGGGTGGAGCCATAATCCAATATTATTGGTGCCCTTATTCCAGCCAGCATGAACGTCAGCATTTCCAAAGGAAATAGGGAGATATCGGCCTACGACAATGACTTTTTGATTGACCAAACTTTGATCAGACTCCTGAACCTTCTCCTAAGCCCATATGTGCACTTCCTTGTAAAATCCAGTTTTAGCAAGAACCCCGCTAAGTCAGCTTACCAGAATTCCCCATCCTTGATATCTGATCACCCTTGGTATCTGATCAGATTCCTCACCCTACATTGTGGGCCAGACTGTCTTCAACAAGAAACCTCTTAGGTCAAGTTTAGCCAGAATCCCCCTAACCCTATTGTTTCCTTTTAGTAATTTTCTGCCCACTGATGCCCACCCTACTCCTTGGCTATAAATTCCCAGTTCCTATGTTGCATTTGGAGTTGAGCTCAATCTCTCTCCCCCACTGCGGTGGGCCCTATGCCAATTATTGACATAGCTCTGTCCCATGAATAAAATCTTACTGTGCTTTAACAAGTGTCATTAAATATTTTTTAATTTATCATTTACATTCTGATAGCTCTGGGAATAAAAAAAATATGAAGTCACGATATGTTTAGAAATTAACGACTTAATCAAATTATGGGATGCCATCCATGCTAGTGGGCTCATCCCAAAGGTCCTGGCTTTACAAATCATCTCAGCGAGTGTGAAACAGAACACGTAAAGAATTTGTATTATGTATTCGCACAAGCAGCGAGTTTTGTTCTTTGAAAGCAATGCCTCGGCCCCTCAACCTCATGGCCTAGGTCCTGGTCCCGCGAACCCCCCGATATTGAGCCCCAGTGCTGTAGATACAGGCATCCTTGCCGGAGAGTAGGGAACGGGGACGGAAATCATGTTCCGTGGCATCGTCCTGCCTTTCACACGCCTGTTTCCGCAGACAACTCCAGTCCTTGCTCAGGTCAATGACCCATTCCCTGCGCAGCAGCCGCGACATCTGGGATCTCACCGCCGCCCACCTGGACCCGAGGCCCAGTTGCGCCCGCAGCGCTCGCAGGACACCTATCTCCGGCGCGAAAACAGTTGTTGACTTCAACCGCGTTCCACTTGTTCCCAGGGAAACAGCCCAGCCCTCACCAGAGTGGCCTCACGACCGTAAGCTCCTACCCTGATCTGTCTGCAATATTTCACCTGAAGTAGGGGGGAAGCAGCCCGGCCGCACGGGACGCCAAAGCGATTCAGACAGATGCAAGCCCGGAGGCCCTAGGTGCGCGTGGTGGGAGGCGGGGCCTACCCGGAAGAGCCCGGGGCGGGGCCGAGGCCAGGC